CTTGAGTAAAAACGCGTTGAAGACTGAATCATGGAGTTTCCTCTCCACTGCGAGTGTGACTTCACTTTTGCTGAAGCTACATTTGAGTCTGAAAGCAGAAACTGTTGAAGATGAAGCCCGGGAGACGAAATTTAACACTCGCCAAGCGCAAATTGCAAGTAAAACTTGACTTTGGTGAATAAATAAAATGTTGCTGGGTCAGTTTGCTAAGAAATACAACATAAAACATTTTAAGTCAAATTGTAAGAATGATTAACTAGTTGCTTATTAGCATGTTACACATAAACACACACACACACATTGCACAACTAGTCAGCTATACTTCAAGCTAGCGACTACTGCAGCAAAACATCTCATCATTCATGCAGATGAAAGTACACTTATGTATGTCAAACGCATCTTGCCAGCATTCACATGGCATGCATGCTACTCAAGTAGGTTTTAGGTGAGCTAGACTGCTGTGTGATGGAGATCTATTAAATTTTTTTTTTATACCTCTGAGGGCGTTTGTGATGTTTAAAAGTGTGAGTGAGAATGAATTGCTTCCTTCCAGGTTCTTTTCATTATCATAACCTCACCCTCTCTCCGCTCCCGTACACTCCCTTTCCCCCAATCTCATATCAAGTGCTCTAAACCCATCCTCCTTCAAATTTGACTGACGGTTCCCCTAATCCTACCCAATACCTAAACTTAACAACTACCTTACTAACTATTAATAAGCAGCAAATTAGGAGTTTATTGAGGTTGTAGTTAATGGTTTGTTAATAGCGAGAATTTGACCTTAAAATAAAGTGAGCGTTGCGTTCACACAACAACTTGTGGAATCAGAAGTTTATGAAAGCTTTTAATAGTGCTTAAAGTTTTCTCTAGAACAAACATTCAAAAACAAAACAATATGAGAAATTATGTGTTTTTATGACAGATGCAGTTTCACTAACAGACACAATCAAAAAAATTTCAAAGGACAAACAGCTGTTAGCTAAACAGCAAAACAGAATTTCATGGTTGGAAATAAATAAGTTACGTAAGATTTCTCAATTGGCAAAACACTTTTTTGTTAACTGAAATCAAGCTGATAAAAACAACAACACTAAATTTAAAAAATGTTTTTATTAAATCTAGAAATTTTGCAACTAACTGAAATAAGTTTAAGCACTACAATTACTAACTAGAAATAAATAAAAACTAAAAGCTGAACTAAAAATAAATAAATAAATAATAATATTAATAGTAATATTAAAAAAATAATACATAAATAATACGAAAATAACACTGATCAGATGTCAGATGTGGGGATCCTGGCCACAAAGTTTGTTTGCCGAAGTTGAAACTTCTGAACCTAAACACAAATCCACAGAGCAGAAATACTGACAAATGTGTAAAAGGAGCAAGGAGGGGCTGGAGGGGGTTTTGGGGAGAAAACTACTATTAGACTAATTATATCAGACCACTTGAGCTATGGCTGCTGTCATTTACAGATGGCCCCTCCATTTCATTGCTGTTGAGAGGCGAATTAAGGAAAATAAAAACAAATGCATGAATTATATTAAATGAACGCTCTCAGAAACTTTGAGGCCCCTTGCTGTGCCATGCTCAATTTTTCTCCTACGTGTGGCCCTCTATGACACTTCCATTAATAAGCGAATATTAAATCAAGTTCCTCCACAGGCGAAGGCCTTCAGATCAGCACCCATTGAAGGGGGAGTCTATTACTGCAGCAGCCTCCAAAAAACTGAGGAGGGTAAAAGATATCTGTGTGAATGGAATATTAGCCTGGAGGGCTCATGTAAGACAGCAAATATGTTAGATAGGGGGCAATATGCCGCCGTGAGTAAACCGAACGAGGCAGACTCACACAATCCGTCTGCTTTTCACACAAATGAGAACACAGACAACAGGACAGGTGAGCGGCTCTACAGTCAGAGCTCTCACTTCTAAATGTCAGTGTATCAAAATAGCATCAGCTACTTCTAGGGATGATGGGAAAGCATGCATATCCGTCACTAGATCTGAGTGGAAGGGAAAATGGCTGTCTCTAATTCACCAATTAATTTAATTCTAGTTTGCAAATAGCCCACTACAATGTAAAATATTACATTGACTACTAAAGTAATTTAGTAATCAATATTTTTGTCTTGTTTTTAAGTAAAAAATTTAAAGTAAAAATATTAAAACATCTTTAAAAGAAAATACATTTACTTCAGAAGCAAACTTGATTAAAAAACATAAAAATAAACAAACAACCAAAAAAAATAGGTAAGATTAAAAATGCTTTCCAGAGAATATATCCTGAATTACATTATTAGTAATGTTTTAAGAATAATTATTTTCAGTAAAATTGAGAGATTTATGATTTAATAATAATAATAATAATAATAAAAACACTGACCAAAAATATGCTTAATTCAATATATATATATATATATATTTGAACAACAACATCAACAAATATGTTTGTTTTTCAATTTTTCTTTTTAGGTAAATTAATTTCAGATTTTTTTTACTGAAAACAAACAAACAAAACTGATTAAAATGATTTTGGTGGTCAATATGAATTGAGCAAACACACTATGAAAGGCTCTAAAAACAGCAGGGTGTCAGACAGATGATGACATGCGTCATAAGTTCTCCTAAGTGTTAACTCCTGTCTTGAAATTGTTCTCGGACTGATCTGGATCAAAGCTTACACACTTAAATTAGCTTTTCCCTTGTCACGATTAAAAAGCTTCTAAAATAAGGGGGGAAACCAGCACACTGTAAGTGACAGCCCTGGTTAGCATCACGTACTGAGCTATGACTGGCTTCTGTATTCTCAATAGACCAGCGCTAATAAGACATGGTGATTCGCTTTTATATCTCCAGAAGCCATCAATGGGGATGTGCTCATTAACAGATCAGGAAATTGTTTTTGTAGCTCAATACTGCTGTGAAACTAATTCATACATTACCATCTATGATGAATTTATTTAAAAAAACTCCTATTATGTGCAATGTGTTTAAGAGCATGCAATCATTTAGACTTTCATTTAAAGGAAGAAAAGGAAAGTGTTGCCAAAAGGACACATACTGGAGGTTAAGTATATTGCTCACATGGTTGAAAGAAATGTAGAGAACATTATAATCAACAATCATCAATACGGTCAACATTCCTTGGCATTCCCAAACTGGGATCTGAACCAGAAACTGTCTGGTTGCTGGCGTTGATGCCTAATCCACACATGCCTCAATGTCTGCAAGACAGTTTATTAGTCATTATCATGGCTCTTGACGGCACTTTTTTTTTTTGCTAAGATGTGTCTTGTTTATTGCCAAGATCTCAAGACTGCCTTCCTTTGAACTACAGGCTACTGAATATAAAGTGGAGCACTACTGTTTTTAAGAGGGCCGAGAGTCAGTTCTGTGGAGCACTACCATGAAGCATTAAAAAATATGCCAAGAGTTTGGGAATAGCAAAATTCTTCCCTTTAAATGTGCTGTCAAAACAAAGACATTTTTTCATCCATTCTACACACTCTTCCCATTTTCACTTATTATTTTATGTAATTCTATCTCCAGTGGCCACAAAAAGTATTTGAACACTTCAGCCACATTTAAAATGCCTGAACTTATTTGCATTAGATAAGAAAACATCAAACCAAGGGGATTTTTTTTTCTTGTTACATCTGAAATTTCTATGGAACTATTCCACTATCATTTGACAACCAGAAAATTCCCAAATACTTTCTCATCAAGTTTAATCTAGTGTTTTATCATTTCAAATCTAACAAACTTATTTTTATAAAATATTTTGCTTGAAAAGTGTGCATGTGTTATCCTTCTTTACAATAAACACCACTTGGTTTGTCATTTTGTATGTACTACAAAGACATTAATTTATTTTAAAGTGACTTAAAAGGATAGTTCACCCACATATGAAAATTCTGTCATCATTTACTCAAGCTCATGTTGTTGTTTTTTCCCGTCAGAACACAAAACAGAGACATTTCTCGATATCTTCTTTTGTGTTCCACAGAAGAACCTAAGACACAGGTTTGGAATGACATGAGGGTGACTAAATGATGACAGAATTTCCATTTTCGGGTGAACTATCCATCTAAGTGTCTAAATACATTTTGGAGCCACTGTATATGTTCTCAAACTGAATGCACACAACAAAAAATACAACAAAAAAGGGGATGCTTTAACAATACTTATCAGTATGTGATACTTTGTCCAAATGCGGCAACTAAGTGATACAATCAACTTCCAACAAATGGCTTGTCACTTTATACTCATGTACATGACGTTGGATGTTTGGATATCATTTATCACATGCCAGCAGGCTGACAGTTGAGCGGTATGGAGCCGATGGTTGTGTAATACATATATACGTGTCTGAGTATGTACCGCACGAGATATGAACTGGCAAGCATGAACGCATATGTCGCATTTCCCGATTAATTGCACAGGGACTGTGACCGCAGTCAAATTGGATATATCTCGACAGTACATATGCATTAGCGGCCACGTATACAAGCTCACGTATATATGCATTCCCTCAAATCCACAGGCGAAATGACAGTGCTACCACAATTCAACATGCAGCAAATTGCAAGGATGCACAAATCCCTCGCTTTCCCTTCTCATCTGTCCCCCTCTCTCTCTTTCTCTCTTGTTTTAATGAATGGCAGGGTGATGAATAAACCACATGAATCAAATCAATCATTGAATGAAGGAGAGGCGGGTACACACCTGGGCTCTTATACTGATCCGGGCTGGCCAGGTGCTGGAGAGGGGAGTTGCAGGCTGATGTGGCATGCTCGCTTTGCAGCAGCTGAGCCGCCTGGGGGCCCAGGGAGCCATAGTCCGCAAAGGAGAAGGGGGGCCCCCGTTGGTCACTTGGCGAGGAATAGAAACCGTAATCGGGGAAGCCTGGGAGATACAGTACAGGGGAGGAGGAGGAAGGGAGGAGGAGGAGGAGTGGGATTTTTACTATTGCATAGTAATGTTATGAGGCAATGCTTAATATCTGACTTGCATGGTTGTACAATGCAGCGTGCACTGGGAAAATAGATGGTGAGTTTGTAAAGCCACATCTTGCTGTTTCCCATCTGTGTGACTGTGTGTGTGAATGTGACGGTGAGTGTGTGAAGACTTGCTGGCCACCACTTTACACTATACTACTATAAATACTTGGGTTTGCTGCAGACGGAGGTACTGACACACTACAGATCAAATAAGCAAACGGAAGTTGTGGTTTAAAAAACTTTTATTTGATGATTACATAAAAACTGACTGACCTTAATAAATGTTCTGAGAAAGGAACGCTCATCATTAGACATGCTAATTTGGATTCAGCATTCACAAATACAACAAGCAGAAAAATAACTAGAATACCACTGTTAACCGAACCTCAAAGCATGCGTTACATAATGTCATCCTCCTTATGAGGTTTATAATATGTGGTTAATTTTTCTTTAATATGTCAAAATATTTATAACTATAAGAATATTTTATTGTGTGTGAGTACACGTGCGCTTTTGTGTCAATCTGTTGAACAAACTATTTTGAGTAAAAGGACTCTTAAATATTACATACAGTGGCCTTAGAAAGTTTTGGGATAGTAAGGTCAGATTAAAAAAAAAAAATGAATGTCATGCATTATATGTCACAAAATGCATTTATTTTGAAATAAAAAGAAGTGAAATACTTCCCAAAAAAGGAGTTTTAATAAAGTTCAAAATGAAGATAAAAATTATTTAAACACTTTCTGGTAAAGTAATTTTGGAAAACAACAACAACATCAAAAACATCACCATTTGATGCCACTTTGTTTGATATTTCATATCTAATGCAATGATATTCTGACATTTAAAAGTGAGACTTCAGCATCTAAACACTTTTTGGGGCCAATGCACACAAATAATTATAAATTAAATTAAATACTAATTCCCCAAATGTTGCTTGTATACAAATGAAAAACAACTATTACATAACCAAACTCGAGTCTGTCACTCTCTCTGAGTGAAAAGCAGACAAATATGAGAAGATGTAACCAGTGCTTAATTTGTAAATGAATAATTTCTGGATCCAAAACAGCAATTAAAAGGTGCTGTGACTGACACTGAAAATACAACTTAAGTTTTCCCAGAACATTCAATGATGTCACTAAACGGTGATGCCACAATTATAAGAGAACATCGTTCACAAGTTTCTGCATTAATCTAACTAGGGCAAGCTTCAAACCCTGGGTCAAAAATGGGTTGCCAGGATGATTTTAGGAAAATGTATATCTAAGATACATTAAAAATAACAAAATTTGTTTTCATAAAAATAAAATTCAATCATAGTATAGGTATAAATAGGCGGAAAATATCTGACTTAAGTAACAGTTTTAATTAAACGTGCATCCTTGCTTTATTTGACAAAATCACAAATATTCTGTTGTTATTTTGAGTGAGCAAAAGTAAAAGTAAACACTTTGTGCTTTTGAATTATGTCTTATTCTTATCTGTATGACCAAAAATGATATATTTTATGTTTCAGCTGTTCGATTGCGCCGGCGCCTCGCGCGCGCTCTCTCTCTCTCTCTCACTCACACACACACACACACACACACACACAGACATCACATCGCAGTCTGTTCATTATCAAAATACAGTCAACCAAAAATATAAAAGGTTACACTGGTCAATTTAAATAGTCCGTGGTATAACTGGTCCACTTTGTGACCAGTTATACCCACTATGCCAAGCACATTTTTGCTCATGTGAAGAGGATATTTCTGTCGATATACGAACGCGCGTGAAGTAGGCTACAAAGCCTCTACATTATAAATAATAGTTTCATTCAAATACATTGCGAATATGGAAACATTAGGATTTGTGCCGAATGAGAGGTACGTGAGCCCAATAAACGCCTGGTACTTTCAGTTTTGCTTTGTTTTGGTTTCTTTAGGTTTATATATTTTTATTTCATTCTTGTTATGTTCTGAATACCGTTACATTTATATGATTTGTTTTGGAGTGAGCTATACTAACGTATATCTATGTTTATAGTGTTTATAATGTTTATACATTATAATATTTCACTTTATTTGGTATTATTTCTGGCAAAGCAGTACCAATTAATGAGAGCGAGCAAGTTAAGAAAGCTGACTGGTCACGGTCAAAAATATGTTGAGGACCAATACATAACCTCCAAATACATAAATCTGTCACAATCTAATGCTGGATCCTTAAAAACAATTACCGGAATGCAAAATTCCAAAATCTGACAATTTCCCGAACAGGATCCGGCTCAAATTAAGCACGGGATGTAACCTTGTAGCTGAGAAGAAGACCTGAAAATTATCCATAGCTGATGGGGTGTAATTAAGCTGACCCTGTCCTGCACTGCCTGCTGTTGTTACAGACGTGGAACTGTGAACTTGAGGGAAGGTGTTAAAGAGAGGGATGGAAGGAGCTCACAGAACTCCAGTGTACCTGCGCTAACTGTTTATAAATAGTCAATATAGCCCCTCTGCTAGACCTTTATATCAGCCAACCTATCAGCCCAGAGAGTGTCTCATTAGAGCAGCCTTGGTGAGGTAGTACATACGATTCTTCTTCCTTTTCCTCTGCTTTAATTAGTTTCAGATCTCAGATATACACAGCAGAACAAATGAGGTCTATGCCAGCCTACATTTAAGAAGAGTTGAGGGAGTGATAAAGAAATATAAATAAAAGAAAAGAGAAAGGAATGCTGATTCTCTCACAGGCTGTAAGCTGCACTGCTCTGACCTTCTCCAATCACTCATTAATTATCCACCTCTAGTCTGCTGACTGCTCACCTCAGCCCAAACCTTGAGTCTACTCTAATGGAAAAACAACAATGGCTGCATTTTTGGTCACCAAACACATTTGTTAAGACCCAGAGATTTGTTGGTATTGCTTATACACTACATGGCCTAAAGTAGGTGGACACCAGTGTAATTCTCAAACAAAAATGTTCGTAAACCAATTTTTTTTTTTTTATATTTCGTCATCATTAACGAAGAATGTCTAAGTCATACTGTGATTATACTCTTTCCGCAACAACTCACTAAACCTAATTTATAGTTCCTTACGTCTTCACAACAAGGACTTGTTTTTTAATCCAAAATTTTTTTGAATATTTGGTTTAATTAGGCACTGGTCAAATAAAATGTTGTTTTCATGGATCAAAATGAGTAAAACTGACTAAATTAATGAATATGACAAATAAATATTAAACTGAAATCTCCTTACACAAACATATAAAGTAGAATGAGGTGCACCAAAGCAAAATACATAAGGATATGGTTTTAAGGATAAGGTGTGGAGGAAATTGACTGGCTTACACAAACCCCAAACTTGAACCCCTATTGAAGACCTTTGAGAAAAGTCAAATCCCTGCAACCAGAGGAGTAGAAGCTGTCAGGAAGGACTGACTCCCCATTAATGCCAATGGTTTTGGAATTAAACAAGCACATACAGATGTGGTGTTTGCTGTCCACATATTTTTGGCAATGTGGTGTACCTTTCTCGGGCGTCTTTCCAAGAAAAAGCTAAATAAAATGTGTTGCAAATTCCTATATTTGCATACTGTTTCAGGGACTGCCAAAACAGACCGGAGAAATTCATAGGCACAAGCACTGAAAAGATGCTTACGAACAGTAAACAGAAACGAGCATGAAAATCCCCATCCTGCCAGTACCTACACTCCCAAACGCGAATAAATCACAGATGCATCCCGACGTTCAAGCTCTCTCCCGCCAACTGTGCAAAAACGAAGGAAATGCCTGAGGTATGCTCAGAATCTTCAAGTGTTTCGGCTTCCCGGAGAGGAGGGGAAAGCCCACTCCAGTGCGCACATCTTTAATCATTTAAGGAAAGCAACCAAAAATGCACTTAGGCTGAATCCATTTTTGATGGGCCTCTAATAGATGGGCGTCCTTGAGGTTCAAAGGGAACCCTGGACGCTCCTCTTAATTAGACAAGCTGCCATCCCGTCCTGTTTCCCCTCATCCTCCTAATTAGATCTTTAACAACAAACAAATGAAGACCTTTTACAGGCGCGTGTTGCACAGCCCGCCTCGTCCCCACCAAGAAAGGGGGGGGCACAGAGACATTCTTTTTGTCTAACGCTCCCCGGCCCTGCCGCGTGCGACAATGGCTGGGTCCTGCCGCAATCTGCATAAATATTCCGCCTAATTTCCATGGAGTGGGAACGGTGAGACACAAAATACGGCATTACTGCACGTACAACAAACACACCTGGTTTCTTTGTTTGCATTGACATAGAAAATTAGACCTGAAAAGCTGTTCGTTTTAATGCAGTGGCAGGAAAGGTCTTATCTAATAACGGCCTGCAGAAATTACGTTTATTATCCAGGTAGATCACGTCCAATGACAGTGCTATCTGAAGCAGAAACACGGAATAAAATGCAGTTAAAAAGTGCCCATTTACTGTCTATAGAGAAAGCCATCTGGCGGAATAGGGCTGCTTGATTACCTTTGCCGGCTAATTCTCTCTCTAAGCACATGCAAATGATTCACTTTGACCAAGTGGAAGTGAGGGGGAAAAAAAGTGGAGCTAAATTAAACACTGCCGTTTTTAAACATCAAAAGTTGCCACAATAATGGCTCCTCCGTGATGCTCCACAGTATTGTACGCTGCCAATCAGACAGAGAATAGCACTCTGAATGTTTTATGCCTCCGTGAATAACTCAGGGATGAAGCGAGGACGCAGGGTGTGAGTTTTGCGTGCGACTATGTGTGTCCTTCCATTAATAGGCACCGCGAACACTTTCTTTAACTGCAACCCCACAGTCAAACTACACAAAAAGCTTAATATCTTCTCTTCTCCTTCCACAAAAACAAATACAGTACTGTGTTGTGTACCATGGGCCTCTCCCCTTCGCTCAAAGAGA